CTAAACCCTAAACCCCACAAACTGTTCTTGCCATGTTCCTAGTCCCGAGCCTGCCAGGAATGGGCACAACCGGGGTTCCAACTGGAGCTCTGTATTTATTGTTCATATTGTGCCAGTAGATATTGCGGATATGTTCCGTGTGTTTTCATGCATATAGCTGATAGAATGCATGCATTGTATGTATCGTATGTACCCGTGCAGTATGTATTGTTTATACTGCATATATCGTACATGGTATATTCTATTTGAATGATATGTTGCATATGATACGCGGGTTCTTGACCTTGCCTCCACGCTCTCGAGAAAGTCTGCCACCGCCGGAGTTTCCGCCTGGTTCTGTAGATCCTGAGCTTCAACAACATCGGATCGGAGAGATTTGAGACTTACGACTTGGGGCACAATCTAGGCTGGTACGACTTTTTTCTGCTTTATGTTTCTCTTGTTTGGCCTTTTTGGGGGGGAGGGGGGAGGGAGGGTCACGCTTCATTGATTTCATTTGCTTGGCCTTGTTCTGACATTGAGGTTCAGCCCGAGGCCCAGGAAGTCGGCCAGTGGGGCGTACAGGACAATTCCCAAAGACCCTTCTATCATCCTTAAGGGGCTCAAGGCTTGTTATGTTCCCCCTTATACTAACGGTCCTTAAGGGGGATGTATAAGGGGGGGGGGGGTACTATAGTCCCTTTTTAAAGGACTGTTAGTATGCGGGGGGACATTCCGAAATATGCACTTGTGTAAGGATGGCCGTTACAAAACCTTCAACGGGGGTATAAAAGCCCCTCATGAACTAGACCCAGGAGTAACCCGGGAATAAAAGGGTGCCCTTTTGGTGTTCAGCGGATTATAAGGGAAACCCCAACCCTGAAAAAAGGAAACAAGGGCCTGCTGCGGGTCCTAGCTAAGCCATGATGTCTGAACTCTGAAGAGTGTGTTTGTGGCGTTTTTGTGGCGTCCCAGGTGCCAAGATCCAAGGCCTCACAGCTCAAGCCGCGAGTGAGCGGCACTCAAGGGAAGCCGAGCGACAACGAGGGAAATTGTGCCGCTGTGGTCCCAATCCATCTCGGAGAACACAGCTCGCGCGCGGAGGATCCTGGGCCGATCTTGGCTTTAGAGAATCTTAAGGTAGTTCCCAGCACTCCGACACCTACACCCCAATCACCCCGAACAGCCCCAAAACTTGGGACGTCCCCCCGTTATACGTAGAGAGGATGAGAGGGGTACTACAATCCCTACTATAAGGACTGTTAGTATAAGGAGCATCCCAACCCAAACCCCTCGACCCCCAGAAAGCTCCCTCGAAGCCATGCAGCTGCGAGCGGATCTTGAGCTTGGACGCCTGCTGGCCAACCGTCTCGACGAAGGTTCCTGGGTTTAGGATCTAGGGTTCAGCGAGGGTTGCTTCAAGGCCCTGAACCCTAAACCCTAAACCCTAAACCCTAAACCCTAAACCCTAAACCCGAAATGCAGAACGAAGGCTTCTGGACGCTGGGGTTCAAGGTCGAGGGTGCGGACTCTGCACACCTTTTGCGGGGGGCACTCTTAGCTTCTTCATGTCGCAGCCCTGAACGCTAGAAACCTTTTGTTGGGGGCTGACGGCAGGCGCGCCCTAAACCCCAAGTCCGGCCGTCCGCAAGCCAAACCATTTTAAGGCCAAACCACGCAACACAAACGCACAACAGCCCCTCGTGGATTCGCAGCAGGCTTCGCTCATTAAGCAAGAGCGCAAGTGCGACCTTTTCTCAACTTGGTACCCCACACACACCCCTTCCCGTGCCCTAAACCCCAAACCCTGAACCCTAAACCCTAAACCCAAAACCACAACCCTAAACCCTAAACCCTAAACCCTAAACCCAAAACCACAACCCTAAACCCTAAACCCCAAACCCTAAACCCTAAACCCTAAACCCTAAACGCTGAGCCGACCAAAGGAACCGGTGATGACATTCATCAGCGCCAGGTAGCCTTGGTCATGGACGGGGATGAAGGTCTAAGGGATGCTGGGTCACTTCTTTAAATTACGTGGGTTTAGGGTTTAGGGTTTAGGGTTTAGGGTTTAGGGTTTAGGGTTTAGGGTTTAGGGTTCAGCATCTCAAGTTCGAGCATTTACTAGGCCAGCAGTGTGTTCAGGCAACGGAAAAAAACCCACCCGCCCAAAGAATCCCATAACATTAAGAAAATAAAAAGTTTTTCTTAATTTCTAGTCCGACGCACCCATGCCGTAACGTCTCACCCCTTCCAAGCACATCGCCCCCCGATAACCAAGACCTGGAATCATGCATTTTCATTGTCACTCGTAACGTCTCACCCCTTCCAAGCACATCACCCCCCGATAAGCAAGACCTGGAATCATGCATTTTCACTCGTAACGCCTCACCCCTTCCAAGCACATCACCCCCCGATAAGCAAGACCTGGAATCATGCTTGGAAGGGGTGAGATGTTACGAGTGAAAGTGCATGATTCCAGGTCTTGCTTATCGGGGGGTGATGTGCTTGGATGATGTACTTGGAAGGGATGAGACGTTACGAGTGAAAATACATGATTCCAGGTCTTGCTTATCGGGGGGTGATGTGCTTGGAAGGGGTGAGGCGTTACGACGGGGGGGGGGGTGGCGGGGGCCCTAAACCCTACGGTTTAAACGCCCCTGTCGTTGAAGGCTCGGTTTTAGTCGAAAATCCGGAAAACGAGAGGCCACCCAGAACCGTCGATTTCAGTACTAAAAAATCGCATTTTTAATAGGGACCCTGGCCGATCTGGGGTCAACTCCAGGGGGGGGGGGTGGGGGGGGGGTGGCGGGGGGTGGGGTGGGGGGGGGGGGTGGGGGGGAGGGAAGGGTGGGTGGTGGGGGGGGTTGGCGACCTTGCCCAGTAAACGGCGACCTTGCCAGTATGTAAAAACGGCCGTTTTACTGGGCAAGGTCGCCGTTTTACTGGGCAAGGTCGACGTTTTACTTCGCCGTTTTGCCGATTTTGGTCAAATCGACCTTGCCAGTAAAAACGGCGACCTTGCCCAGTAAAACGGCGACCTTCGGTCACAAAATCGACTTGCCCAGTTAAAAACGGCGACCTTGCCAGTAAAACGGCGACCTTGCCCAGTAAAACGGCCGTTTTACTGGGCAAGGTCGCCGTTTTACTGGGCAAGGTCGCCGTTTTACTGGGCAAGGTCGATTTTGGTCAAAAAATCGACCTTGCCCAGTAAAACGGCGACTTGCCCAGTAAAACAGCGACCTTCGGGGTCCAAGGTCGCATTTTTACTGGGCAGGGGCGGAAGGTCGCCGTTTTACTGGGCAAGGTCGCCGTTTTACTGGGCAAGGTCAGTTCGGTCAAAAATCGACCTTGCCCAGTAAAACGGCGACCTTGCCCAGTAAAACGGCGACCTTGCCCAGTAAAACGGCGACCGTGCCCAGTAACTCCTTAACATTTAAATTATATATGAAAGAGAGGTTTAGGGTTTAGGGTTTAGGGTTTAGGGTTTAGGGTTTAGGGTTTAGGGTTTAGGGTTTAGGGTTTAGGGTTTAGGGTTTAGGGCTTAGTGTTTAGGGTTTAGGGTTTAGGGATTAGGGTTGCCATTCTAGCGCGGCCTCTAACATGTACGGTTCCCAACAAGGGACCATCATTTAAAGAGGGGGCCTTTGTGATCTGCAGGGTTTACCGACAAGCCGAAGAAGAGTGTTCCCACCTAGACCCAGGAGTAACCTAGGAATTACAAGGGTGCCCTTTTGGGTTTTAAGGGGAGGATAAGGGAACCCCAACCCTAAAATGAAATACGGGCCCACTCCGGGTCCTAGCCACCACCATCCTTGGCTTTCAGGTTTTGCTCTGAGTCATCCTGGCACCAGGGACGAGTGGTAGGTCGCATCTTCCCGGAATTACCATGGTCGGAAAAATCAACTTCTTGCGGCGTCGTTCTGCTGCGCTGTTCACGCGACACTCGGTTGCACGGCGGCTCTTGGGCGCGCTGCTTGGGTACAGTCGTGGAAGGAGCCCCCGGGGTGCTCATCAGCAGCATCAGCAGGACCGGCTCTGGGGTGGAGGGCCTTGGAGGTGGTTCCGGGCCTGGTGAACAAGGCCTGCAACTAGCACCGTGGCGCGCCCGCGCGCGCGCCAGCCAAGGGACCACTGTTAAGCTGGTTGTGTTTGTATTTGCTGTTGCTGTTGTTGCTGTTGCTGTTGCTGTTGTTGTTGTTGCTGTTGTTGCTGTTGTTGCTGTTGTTGCTGTTGTTGTTGCTGTTGCTGTTGCTGTTGCTGCTGTTGCTGCTGCTGCTGCTGCTGCTGCTGCTGCTGCTGCTGCTGCTGCTGCTGCTGCTGCTGCTGCTGCTTTTGCTGTTGTTGCGCTGCGCCCATACCTAAGTGCTTGTCACTTTGGGGCATAGCTGGCCGTGGGTGACAGCCCCCGCGAGCCTAAGGGCTGAAGACTCATTGTGAAGGGCCAGCATCAGAACGGCCTACGTGTCAAGCCCTGAAGACCCTAAACGCACAGGCCTGCGGAACATCAACCACGATGTGGACTGGGCATGTGCAATATGACTTAGTTGACCAGTAACCTGGGAATTTAAAGGTTAACCTTTGGGATTATAAGGGGATTATACTACCCGAAAAAGATTCAAGGTTACCTACTCTACTCCTAGGATGGTTCCCGTGTGAGACACTTGACCCACCAGCTCTGAACCATTAAGTGCTGCTTGGGGTTGTCCACTATGGAGCCCTAAGAGGCCCAAGAAGCTACGGGGAGTCCTACGGGTACGGAAAGCTCGCCGCAATTGCGGAAGTAGCGGCTGTTGTGGCTGCACCTGATTCCTTGAAGCGCCTAAACTAGGCTGGAGTGTTCTGGGAGGATTCCGAAGATGGGGTTACCAAACTGGGGTCCTTACTATCAAGGAATCCGACTATTTGGGGGTCTATATGAGGGGTCCCATATTTTTTCAATAAACCCCCTCCTCATGCTTCTTCGTTTGATTCAGGAAGCAAAACGCCATGTACATCACGAAGAGCGCGCCGAAGCTCTCAGAGATATAGTCGATGAGTGGAGCGCAGACATCTCCCCAGTCTACTCCTGCATGTGTTGTTGCTTTCATCCGAGACTCCAAAACAGGTGGAGCTACTAATATCGCTTGCCTTCGCTAGATTTCGATCAGCATTTGCAACACTTGATTGCGAGCTAATGCCCACAGTTGGCAGGCACGTGCTCCACACCAAATACTAGCCAAGCGTGAAGTGTCGGTTCTCGGGCTCATGTCAAGCAGTGCCAGTAGCCCAAGCTGTGCCTAATGTTAACCTGCAAATTAAAAAAACCCCTCATAATTAACGAATTCGGATCCCGGAACTCAATTATAAATACCCCCCCTCAACAGATATTTTTCAAAATCAATTGAGACGGGGGGGGGGGGGTATTATTTGGAGGCCAACATTAACTCCCGCAAGCCCTAAGAATACCATCCGTCGTGGGCTGTGTCGGATCAAGTCTAGGGACCCTCAAGGTGTACGAGCACACGTTGGCTTAGGGGGTGCAAGGTCCCTACACCCTAAGCACAGCTGCGGAGGCTGATCTAAGTTTCTGTTTCTGCTCCCCTTAACGAAAAGGAAACGATTCAAGAACTCCGACAGGTGCCCCTAATTGGCGCAAACCCCAGCTTGGGACAGTAGATCCCACACGCTAAGCCCCTCAAAACCCAAACGCCGAGAGCACATAAGCCTGATCTCCTAACAACCCTTAATTATCCGACCCTAAATGACCCTAAATAACCGTAAATATCCCCGGAGTAACCCTAAATAACCCTAAATAGCCACAAAAACCCTTCATGACCCTTAAGAACCCTACAGCCGTGAAATGCCAAAAAAACCCCAGTAACCCTAAACCCTAAACCCTAAACCCTAAAAAAAAAACCTAAACCCCAAACCCTATAAACCCTAAACCCTAAACCCTACACCCTAAACCCTAAACCCTAAACCCTAAAAGCCCCAGTGGGCGGTGGCCCAGCAAGCGACCTCCGGTCAGCGCTTGGAAGACCGAGAGCATGCCTTTTGGGCTTTCAAGACGACTCTTTACGGGTTTAGGGTTTAGGGTTTAGGGTTTAGGGGTTTGGGGTTTAGGGTTTAGGGCTTAGGGTTTAAGGCTCAGGGTTTAGGGCTTATAGACATGAGGGGGGTCTGCAACCCCGCCATGTCTTGAACATGGACCCACGACAAAAAAACACACCGAAGCACGACAAGCAAATGGGAAGTTTCCTAAAAAAAGGGTCCCTTGTTGGGTACCCATCATAAGGCGGCACCCTTTAACACGGGATCCCAAAAAGGGACCCTAGTTTAGAGAACTACCCAAATGAACAGGGCTTGCAAGCCGTATTGGCTTTAGGCTTTGGTGGTAGATGGAAGCGGCCTAACGGCTTGGCCTGGTTTGGGGCTTAGAATCCCAGAGAACACGCTGGAATGACCTAGTGGACCGAAAAACGGTTAGGGAATCCGGTTTTTGGAGCTATTGGAAGGCTTGAAAAAGCGGATTCCTGGAGGCTCGAAAAAGCGGATTCCTGGCCTCACAAAACATGCCGGAATACCTAATGGCCTAATGGGCCGAAAAACGGCTAGGGAATCCGGTTTTTGGAGGTTTTGGGCCCTTTTCCACAGAACACGCTGGAATGGCCTAGTGGATCGAAAAAACGGCTAGGGAATTCGGTTTTTGAAGGTCTTGAGGCCTCGAATTCCCGGCCTGGTTTGGGGCTTGGAATCCCACAGCACACGCTGGAATGGCCTAATGGACCGCCAAACGGCGACAGAATCCGGTTTTTGGAGCTGTTGGGGCCTCTAAGGCTTGAAGAAGCGGATTCCCGGGCTGAAGCTTCCTCCTACTCCTTCTAGTCTGTCGTATTGCACGCTTCTTGCCATGGGGTCTCAAAAACCTGTCGTGCGCACAGACCCCTCTTCTATAGAAATTGTATAGGGTTTGTGTCCGGAGTTTTGTCGGGTTTGGGGGGGGGGGGGGGCTTGGAAGGTTTTGCTTTTTTTTTTGCTGAAATTTGAGGAGGTTTTGTCGGGTTTGGTGGGGGATGGGTCGTTTTGGGGTGTTGGGAAGGGTTTTGGGGGTTTGGGGGCGGGGCGTTCTTTCCCTGTTCAGGGTCTTTTTTGGTGCCTTGAAAGCCAGGTTTTTGGTCTGATTTTGAAACACGTACAAAATCTGTATTTATCCTGGCCTTGAGGGTTTAGGGTTTATAGAAATTGTATAGGGTTTGGGCGTTTTGACCCAAAGTTTTGACCGAAACGTTTTGACCGAAAGTTTTTGTTGGAACCCTTTAGTTTGGGGGGGGGGAGGGGGGGGGGGGAGGGGAGGGGGGGGGGGGGAGGGGGAGGGGGGGGGGGGGGAGGGGAGGGGGGGGGAAGGGGGAGGGGACGGGGGGGGAGGGGAGGCGGGGGGAGGGGGGTGGACTTGCTGTTCAACCAAATAACAGGAATATTCAGCAAGGTATACCATACAATTTCTAGCATTTTGCCTTGAGGGTTCAAGGTCTAGGGTTTAGGGTTGAGGGTTTAGGGTTTAGGGCTTCGACAATTCACCTTTGTATGCTTTCGATTTGAGGGGTTTTGGGTTGGGTCGTATGTGTGTGTGTGTGTGAAGTTTACGGGTCAAGGGGCGGATGGTTATGCCGGGAACCCTAAGCCCCAAAATTATTTTTCAGAACCTGTGCAGAAGAGTCTGCTTCCAGGCTCACAGCATGGCTGTGGGTTTTGCGAGGTTCAACCCTAAACCCTTAAAGTCGGCTGGTGGGACATGCCCTAAAACATTCTTGTTGTCAGAGGTTAGGTTTAGGGTCTAGGTAGGCTTACGCACAGGACGTCGAACGTCGTGAGGTTTAGGATTCAGCGAGATCAATGAACCATCCTGACATGATGATACTTGTGATGACCACTATTTGCCCCCCACCCAAAAAACATTCTTCCTTGTAAGGGTCATATAGGGATGACTATCTTTGCTTTTTTGGGGGTTCTTAAGCAAACGGTAGATACGGTACAGCGCGACCTGCCAAGAAACGAATACGCGTTCTCCTTAGACGATTCAACTGACGGAAGCCTGACGTCCACAACACTTAGCCCCAACCCGCAACGGTTTGACGAGGAAGCGCTGCTAAGCAGACGGCCACTCAGAACCCTTTGTCTGTGGAGAGGGGTGGTGGTCTGAGCTGTGGCGCGGTTTGGTGTTCAGGGTTTTAGGGCATCGGGATGGACGTTAGCCGAGCGTCTGATCAAGAGGCCTCTTCCCCAGAACTCCTCCAGTCTCTCGTTGGCGAGGTCTGTTGCCCTCAGCCAACACGCAGAAGATCGCGCAAGGATCCGAGAGGGAGTGGGGAGGATTCCTCCCTAAAGCCTGAAACTCTTGTAGATCGTTCACTACCCTGCTATTCGCTTGGCTGGTTCTCGGGCTTGGGTTGCAGGAGCTGCTTCTTATCTTCCAAACAAGAACATCCCTGGACACCATCATGCCCCCCCCCACCTGATACCTCTAAACCTTATAAACCCTAAACCCTAAACCCTAAACCCTAAACCCGAAACCCTAAACCCGAAACCCTAAACCTCAAAACCCTAAACCCGAAACCCTAAACCCCATCCTCAGGGACCCGGGCGGGCTCTCCCCTGGCGGGTTCTCCAAGCGGTAGACGTACACAGCTTGAGTCACGTAGATGGCCATGACCTTGATCCAGGTGGAGGGCTTCGGCCCTACAACCCCTAAACCTGAAACTTTAGGATTTTGGTGGTCCCTAAACCCTAAACCCTAAGCCCTAAGCCCTAACGCCCTAACGCCCTAACGCTCTAACGCCCTAACGCCCTAACGCCCCAACGCCCCAACGCCCTCACGCCCTAACGCCCTAGCGCCCTAACGCCCTAGACCCTAAGGCCTCCTGTCAGGGTTTGGGAAATCTTCTGGCAGCTTGAGGAGCTTTCGGGAGTACTGGGGATGGAGAGAGTCGATAACATTCTGGGATTTGGGCTTTAGGGTTTGGGGTTTTGGGTTTTGGGTTTCGGGTTTAGGGTTTCGTTGCTCGCCTCTGGGCAGGCAGTAAGGATGGCATCCTGTTAGCTAGGAGGACTTTGGGTATCCCTAAACCCTAAACCCTAAACCCCAAACCCTAAATCCTACACCCTACACCCTAAACCCTAAACCCTGAACCCTGAACCCTGAACCCTAAACCCTAAACCCTAAACCCTTATGCCGGCGTCGTCCCCAAACATTTGCAGGACCACCTCACGAGCGTTCCACATGCTCTCCAAAAGCATGGCTGCCAAGACCACCCAAAGAGAGCTAAACAACGACTCAACCTAAACCCGTAAACCCTTGAACCCTTGAACCCTGAAGCCCTTAAAACCTTAAAACCTTAAACCCTTAAACCCTTAAACCCTCAAACCCTCAAACCCTCAAACCCTCAAACCCTCAAACCCTCAAACCCTCAAACCCTCAAACCCTCAAACCCTCAAACCCTCAAACCCTTAAACCCTTAAACCCCTAAACCTTCTAAACCCTAAACCCAAACCCTAAACCCTCACCTAAAGGCACCCCAAGAAAACTCCAAGGGCCCCGAAGCAAAGACACGTCTGCACTTCACAAGCATGCGTACTTGACCGAGGCAGGTGTGCAACGCTGCCCCACAGTGGCTGGTCGAAAGGGCGCGTGAAGCAAATCCATCCAAGAGCGCGAGAGGCAAGACAATTCTGCTTGCCACGTTTTGTTGCGACACGGGGCGATGCAAGCCTTAAAATTTAGAAAGTGCGCCGGAACCGAACCGGTAACGCAATTTCGCGCGCGGAAGGCGCAGGGGAACTAGGCGAGAGCCTGATTCGCAGACTGCCGTGATGCGAAAGTCAGGTTTGTGGCGTCGCACCCACCTGAAGTGCACACACACACACATGCTGACCAAGTACCCTTGATACCCGAAATCAAAGCCCCAAGCCCGGCAGATGTGAGCCTACATACACTCGGAGACCCAACAAGCGTGGTTTTGGGCCATTGGGGTCCAGGATTCCCAGGCTCCCAGACACCAAAGCCCATACTACACGCATCCGACCTCTCGATGGCCCAAACCTGAGTGCACGACATAGATCGTCATCACCAGCAGAGACAGCGCCCACATGAAGGTGCGTAGTGAGAGCAGTAGGCAACTTACCTCAGACGGCGGGTTGAGCTCATGCGAAAGGTTGTAACAGGAGAATGAGCCCCGATACTGGCCAGCATCAAGTGCAGTGGGTGGCAAAGAAAAGAACTTTCCCCTGGGCTTCATTGCTGGTGGGAGTTTGGGGTTCAAGGTTTAGGTCTGCTGGCACTTTCTCCTTCAGAATGCCCTGAAAACAAGTCCGAAGTCGATACTGACTGGCACAAGACCGGTGAAACCCCCACCCCTGACCGGTAGTTTGGATACTGTTGGAGATTGAGGAGAAGCATGGGGCACCACGTTCACACACATGTGTTGAAGAGTTCGGTCGAGGCTACAGCTGGGGTTCGGGAATTTGAAAAGGTTCTTATGTATAATGCATTATATAGCTTTAGAACGATATTATCAAATATTATCATATATTACCATATATTATCATCTATTCTCATCTATTCTCATCTATTCTCATATATTCTCATATATTATCATATATGTATCATATCTTGGCTGCACTCAGAAGGGTAGCTAAAAATTAAACTATTAGCTGCCTTATTAGGAAACCCAACGAACCCAAAAAGGCTAAGGATCTAAAGTTACAGTAAATACAGTAAAGCATAACAAAGACATATTTTCATATAATATCATAAAATATCATATATTATCATATATTATCATATATTATCATATATTATCATACATGATCAAAATTATCATGTATTATCCTTTTTGATTGCGCAATGTTTTAACGCCCGCCCAAACCGAAGCCCTGCCAAAGCACCACCAACTGGAGCTCATCGGCGTAGCGCACGGCGCGTATCAGGCGCATCACCTTCCAGATTCCAAGCGGGGGCTCGCATGGAAAACTCGGGAGTAGCGGCCCAAATGGTGTAGAGCTGGGTGCTTGACAGGACCTTCAGGCAGTGCTTGCCTGTATGGGGGGCTGTCGTTTATCCATTGAAGATGCAAGATTCGAGCCCTGAAGCCGAGACCCAAACCGAAACTTCTGATCCCCTCCCCCGCCATCGTTGCCCGCTCGCAGAAGACACTCAGGGTTTAGGTGTTTCCATTGCAGCATTTGGGGAGACACCTGTGTTGGCCGGAGGAGGGGGTTGAGCAGTTGGGAGGAAGGGCAGAAATCAACGATCCGACCCCTCGCTGTGCCTTGACCCCGCGGAGGATGCGCATGACTCCTCACGGGCGAAACCCTAAACCCAGAACCCTACACCTAAACCCAACATCCTCAACCCCAGGTTTATCCCCGAGTCCCTGATAAGGCAACTGCACGTGGCATGCTAATTAGGGCTTAGGGTTTAAGGTTTAGGGTTTAGGGTTCCTTGAACCCCCAAAGGCACGTGGAGCCTCCACAAGCTAGCCAACAGCCCATGAAGCCCCAACTTCTGAAACCCTGCAGCCATATGTTGCAAATCAAAAACCCATAAACTTGATGCAGGCCCTCAACGCTAAAACCCAGAATCCCAAAACCGACCACATCTCGACTCCCCAGCCGGTTCCGGCCGAAACGCCATCAGTATAGGCAGCTGAGGGTTTAGGGACTGAAGGGCTAGCAGTAGGGTTTAGGGCCTAAGGATCTGTAGCTTGGGAGTTGTCCTCTGAGGGTATCTGGCGCTATGCCTTCAACCCTAAGCCCTAAACCCTAAACCCTAAACCCTAAACCCTAAACCCTAAACCCTGAATCCAAAGCCCCCAAACTTTGGTCAGCTGAGCCGGGGTTCGCATGACGCCGCTCTGTGCCATCTCCAAGTCGGAGGAGGAAGCCTGGGGTCGGGATAGGGTTTAGGGTTTAGGGTTTAGGGTTTAGGGTTCAGGGTTCAGGGTTCAGGGTCTAGGCTCTAGGGTTTAGGGTTTTGGGTTTTGGGTTTAGGGTTTAGGGTTTAGGGTTTAGGGTTCAGGGTTCAGGGTTCAGGGTTCAGGGTTCAGGGTTCAGGGTTCAGGGTTCAGGGTTCAGGGTTTAGGGTTTAGGGTTTAGGGTTTAGGGTTTAGGGTTTAGGGTTTAGGGTTTAGGGTTTAGGGTTAGGGTTCAGGGGGTTCAGGGTTCAGGGTTCAGGGTTCAGGGTTCAGGGTTCAGGGTTCAGGGTTCAGGGTTCAGGGTTCAGGGTCTAGGGTTTAGGGTTTTGGGTTTAGGGTTTAGGGTTCACAGTTCAGGGGGACTGCCTAGGGTTTGTATCCGGAGTTTTGGCCAGGTTTCGGGGCTGAAGCAACTTCATCGCAATTGCAGGTTCTTAGTGAAGCCTACACCATTTCTATCTGTCCTGGCCTTGAGGGTTTAGGACTACACCAATCCCGCCTCTTGCCCCAAAATGTGGGCCCAAAACATCCTTCAGGCAGCGGGTGGTGAATTCACATCCGAAGTTTGTCCTGAAACCCGAAACTGCGACCCCCGTTCCGCAAGCCCCTAAACCAGAAAGAACGCTACATCGCACGAGGCTTGAACACATTCGGCCCAGCCGCCGTCAGTGCTACAATCTCCTCAAACATCTGGAGAGCAGAGACCTCGGGCGTGCTCCTCTTTCAATGTTCAGTCTGAAAGAGGTGGCTCTGCACGTGACTTAACAAAACAGGTTTTTTTGTTTTGTATATATTTATATAAATATAAATAAATCAATAAATTATATATATATATATGTATACATAGACACATGTAGGTCTATATTAACACTAACTTATACTGCGTATATGTAGAAGTACAAGTGTCCTTGGTATGGGCTAACAGCGGTGAACTTGCGCTCATTCGCGCATCGTCAGGTTATCTCGTGGAAGCTGGGCTTTCGGTGTAAGTTTGTGCACCCTAAACCCTAAACCCTAAACCCTAAGCCCTGAACCCTAAACCCTAAACCCTAAACCCATAAAACATGGCAGAAAAAAACAATTGCTTGAAACAAAGGTGCAGTCTTTGAAGGAATCGGGGACATCCTGACAGGCCGACCCTCCTTCTACACTAAACCGTACAACCTACCTTACCAACCACCATCTTAGCTTGAAGGACTAAGTTTCTTGGGCTCTTAACTTCTACTTCAGAGAGGTCCCAAGGAGTTTAGGCTTCATGGCCTAACCCCTATTCGGAGTACGCCCTTTTTGGAGGAGCCTGCGCGATTGAGGGCCCTGCCACGAAGTCAAGGATGTTCCAGGCGCAGCCATGCATGGTGAAGAAGCGAAGCTGGTAGACGTAGAGGCGCACGCAAACCTCGCCCCGCGGTGCCTAGAAACTGAAACCTAAACCCTAAGCCCTAAACCCTAATCCCTAAGTCCTAAACCCTAAACGCTAAGCCCTAAACCCTAAACCCTTAACCCTAAACCCTAAGCCCTAAGCCCTAAACCCCCAGCGCCTCTAAGCCAAAGAAGGTGCCAAAGCCCAAGTCGATGGAACCTCGGCTGTGCCCCGAAGTCTCCACAGACCTAAGCCCTGTGCTAACTGAGCTGTTTAGGGTTTAGGGTTTTGGGTTTAGGGTTTAGGGTTTAGGGCTTAGGGTTTAGGGTTTAGGGTTTAGGGTTTAGGGTTTAGGGTTTAGGGTTTAGGGTTTAAGGGCTTCAGCCCTGGCCAAGGCACGCCAGAAGATGCCAGCATCTGGATTCAGGGTGACCGCCAGATGATTGATCTGCAAGCCTTGCCGCATCTTGGGGTTAAGGGTTTAGGGTTTAGGGTTTCGGGTTTCGGGTTTCGGGTTTAGGGTTTAGGGTTTAGGGCTTAGGGCTTAGGGTTTAGGGTTTAGGGTGTAGGGTTTAGGGTTTAGGGTTTAGGGTTGCGCCCTCCCCGTAGCTTCCGGGTTTCAGGGAAGGCTCAGCCTCTTCGGCATTTTCGGATAACACAGGTCGAAACGGTCATCAGCATCCCCTAAACCCAAACCCTAAACACTAAACCCTAAACCCTAAAACCTACACCCTAAACCGTAAACCCTAAGCCTTAAGCCCCAAGCCCTAAGCCCTAAGCCCTGCACCCTGAACCCTGAACCCTGAAGCCTAAACCCTAAACCCTCAACCCCCAAACCTCAGCCTCTCAAGCCTTGATCGGCCGCCGAGGCGCCAATGAACAGCGAGTGCAGCATGATCATGACCATTGCGAAACACTCAAACCTTTGGCGTGCGTGGTTTAGGGTTTATATACCTTGGGCGACCAAAACCCTGAAAACAGTGGGTTCGGAACCCAAAACCGGGGTTCCGGAAGAGTTTGTCAAAAACCTGGTCTTGACTAACAGAACCGGGTTCTTGCAAAGTATGACGTATAGAGCCCGTAAATACTCGTCGAAAAACCTGCAAAAGCCTGTCAAAAACCATTAAAAAAACCGTCGGCTTTGTTTTGGCCGGTTTTGGGTTTCGAGAACCGGGTTTTTAAGTAGAACCTTTTTTGGGGGGCTTTGGTTGCTGAATGTAGGGCTTAGGGCTTAGGGCTTCGGGCTTCGGGCTCCGGGCTTCGGGCTTGGGGCTTCGGGCTCCGGGCTCCGGGCTTGGGGCTTGGGGTTTGGGGCTTGGGGTTTGGGGTTTGGGGTTTGGGGTTTAGGGTTTAGGGCTCTGACTGGCCAAGAGGCCAGGTGCTGGTGATGACGCGCTTCACGATCTTCCGGCACTGGGACATGCTCTGAGTACGGCTCGCCTCGAAGCAGGTTTTGGAGTGAGCTAGGGCCATTTCGGGCGGGATTTTCCCTAAACCCTAAACCCTAAACCCTAAACCCTAAACCCTGAACCACAAACTTACAAACCTCAAGAGGCGTAGGTCTTACGGTCGCTCCAAGTTTGGACACCGCATCGGAACCTCAAGGTGCCGCCGCTTTCGATTATCAGAAGCAACGAAATTTGTGCATATGTATAATGTAGTAAAGTAATGACACCATAATAACCATAGTCATAGCAATGGTAATAAGAATAATGAGAACCATCATAATAAGAATATTGGTATTAATAAAAACGAGTAATGTTTAAAGCAATACTGATAATCGCAATAACAATAACAGTAACAGTAACAGTAACAGTAACAGTAACAGTAACAATAACAATAACCATAACAATAACAATAACAATAACAATAACAGTCTATGTATATATATACGTATATATATATGTATATATATATATATAGGAAATTAGAGTTTCGGGTTTAGGGCAAAGCCTAAAACGCAAGGGGCCGCCGCATCCCAACCTGGGCGCCCAGAAAGGAGCATGATGCGCGGCTCTGAATTTGTAGGTACACCCTGAGCCCTAAACCCTAAACCCCTAAACTCAAAACCCTAAACCCCTAAACCCCTAAACCCCAAAACCCCAAAACCCCAAAACCCCAAAACCCCAAAACCCCAAAACCCCAAAACCCCAAAACCCCAAAACCCAAAAACCCCAAAACCCCAAAACCCCAAAACCCCAAAACCCCAAAACCCCAAAACCCTAAACCCCTAAGCCCCCTAAACCCTAAACCCCTAAACCCCTAAACCCTAAACCCCTAAACCCTGAACCCTTGGAAAGGGACTCTGGGAACTTAGGAACTCTGGGAAGACCACCCGGAACCCAGGGTTTAGGGTTAGGGTGGGGTTGGGGTTTTAGGGCTTAGGGCTTAGGGCTTGGGGTTAGGGTTTAGGGTTTAGGTTAGGGTTTAGGGTTAGGGTTTAGGGTTTAGGGTTTAGGGTTAGGGTTAGGGTTAGGGTTTAGGGTTTAGGGTTTAGGTTTAGGGTTTAGGGTTTAGGGTTTAGGGTTTAGGGTTGGGTTTTAGGGTTTAGGGTTCAGGGGTTAGGGGTTAGGTTTAGGGTTTAGGGTTTAGGGTTTAGGGTTTAGGGTTTAGGGTTTAGGGTTTAGGGTTTAGGGTTTAGGGTTTAGGGTTTAGGGTTTAGGGTTTAGGGTTTAGGGTTTAGGGTTTAGCCTTCCGACCACACGTAAAGCCGCACAAAACGCTTGGTTTGGGACATGTCGAGCCGCTGAAAGCGCTAGGTTCGGACATGTACAGCCGCTCAAAGCACTTGGTTTGTGGGGGGTGGGGGGTATGCGAATGGCCCTCACGATTCGGACATCTACAGCCGCTCAAAGCACTTGGTTTGTGGGGGTGGGGGGTATGCGAATGGCCCTCACGATGAGAACGTCCGTGGTAGGAGTGCGTGCGAGTGGCCAGAGCATCCATGCCCGCACGATGAGAACGTCCGTGGTACCAGTGCGTGCGAGTGGCCAGAGCATCCATGCCCGCACGATGAGAACGTCCGTGGTACCAGTGCGTGCGAGTGGCCAGAGCATCCATGCCCTCACGATGAGAACGTCCGTGGTAGGAGTGCGTGCGAGTGGCCAGAGCATCCATGCCCGCACGATGAGAACGTCCGTGGTACCAGTGCGAGTGGCCAGAGCATCCATGCCTTCACGATGAGAACGTCCGTGGTAGGAGTGCGTGCGAGTGGCCAGAGCATCCATGCCCGCACGATGAGAACGTCCGTGGTACCAGTGCGTGCGAGTGGCCAGAGCATCCATGCCCTCACGATGAGAACGTCCGTGGTAGGAGTGCGTGCGAGTGGCCAGAGCATCCATGCCCGCAGGATGAGAACGTCCGTGGTACCAGTGCGTGCGAGTGGCCAGACCATCCATGCCCGCAGGATGAGAACGTCCGTGTTACCAGTGCGTGCGAGTGGCCAGAGCATCCATGCCCGCACGATGAGAACGTCCGTGGTACCAGTGCGTGCGAGTGGCCAGAGCATCCATGCCCGCACGATGAGAACGTCCGTGTTACCAGTGCGTGCGAATGGCCAGAGCATCCATGCCTGCACGATTTCTTCGGCCGCCCTTCTTCGTGAGGCGGATTTTATGTGTATGCTTCCACATGGAGGATACCATGCATCCGAAGGAGTGCTGCTTTGTAGAGCCCATGAAATATGCTCCTTCAAGTGCATTTTGGAACCGTGAACACCACTGGGATCCCCCACCTTTGGCTAGATGTTGTGTCTCAGCTGGCAGTTTTGTTTGTGCTCGCCTGACGCGAGTGGCTCGGGGCAGAAGTCACTTTAGGGGACTAGAGGCAGTCCTTTCAGATACCCTGAACCCAAACCCTAAATTGCGGCTAAACCCCGGCTCCACCCTAAACTTCGCTAAACTTTAAAGCTTCAATCGCAAACCCTGAACCCTAAGCTAAACTTTTAAGCACCTCAAACCTAGACCGTACACCCTGGCAGGCCAGGGCTGCGTTTTTTGTCAGCATACTTCAATATCGTAGTTTGTAGTTTCCGTTTGCGTCCAGTGTGGAAGCCATGTCAGAAGATCCTTCCCCTCGCACGCTAGCTTTGTTTCTGGGTTACCTCGACGACGCAGACTCGCCTCCCAGTCCCTTGCGCGGCGATGATAGTCCGTGGACCACTGGCTTCAAGCGTGTCTCTGCTTTTTTTTTCGCAGAGGGTTGATTGGGGGTCTTCCCTGAAACCCACCCCCTAGACCTCGCTAAACCCTAACTCTTGTCTTTGCCTCACTCAAGGTTGGCATTCACGGCAGAGGCATCTGTGTGCTTCTCTTACGCCGTTGTCGACTGCCGGGTGCGACATTGTCGTATCGAGCTCGGATGAGGAGTCTGCGCCGGAGGACAACTCCGAGTCTAGCCTCGGTTTAGCACTGTCTCCTTCCTCGGGCTTGTCGCAGCGCTCGGACTGGGACGAGGCATCCTTGGACGATGTGGCAGTGGAGCAGCCAATGTCGTCTTCTACCAGAGATGCCTCAATGCCGCCATATGTGCAGGCGCAGTTGGCTGAAGAGGTGGAGTACCTGCGTGAAGCTTGGTCGGGTTTCTGCTCTGCTCAGACAACGCAGATGCCGCCGGAGATCCGACGGCAGATGGATGAAGAGCGGCTTTACTTGCAGGAGGCTTGGTCCGAACACTGCGCCGGGCAGCAGTCCCTCATGCCAGCAGACATACGGGAGCAGCTGGAGGATGAGTTGGCTTGCCTGCGTGACGGCTGGTCCACTAGTGTGACTTCCTTGCACATGTCTGGCGGCGGCTACGACTTCAAGGCGCTGCGGCCGGCGGCGGAAGCCAGCGCGCAGCCTCGCCGCACCAAGTGGGGGCGCTGTGACAGATGTGGTACGCCTCTTCGACCAGTGTCGCACAGCTCAGGGCCGACGATGGGTCGGGCGCTACTTCGCTGCTGCAAGTGGTGGACCGTTGACTCTGGTCGTCGTCAATGCTGGTTTGCCAAGGCTTACTCTGGGGATGTTACTGCGCTACCGAAGACAGTGCGGCAGTCCATGGCCAGCTCTAGAAAGGATGTCAGGTTTCACCTATACAGCAACGGACGTTGACCGGGGGGCGCTTGTGACTTTCGTGGGGACGTCGTGGCCAAGCGCAAACATGGACTGCTTGCTGCACTTGAAGCTGTCCTCACACCCTCTAACCCCTGGATAAACCCTGACGGCTAAACCCAAAGCCCTAAAGGCTAAACCCCTTATACCCCTGAAGCCGGACAACGACTTTGAGCCCTCAACGCCATAGCCCTGCCTCTCGAGCCTAATCTGCAGTGGCCAGAATGTTTCCTACTGAACCGTTCTTTGTCGCAGCCATGGCACGCGAGGTGCTTCAAGCTGCATCTTCTCACTTCAGTCCGCAAGACTTAAGGTCCTGGATGGAGTTTCGACTGCCGCAGCTCCTGCTCCTGACAGAGACTGTCGCTTGTGTTCAGCGGCACCTGGGTCCTGACCAAAGTACACGGGTCTTGGAGACTCTGTGCTTGGCTGCAGATGTCTTGGCGAGTATCCTCGCCTCTACGGTGCACGTGGCTTGCTTCGCCGAAGGCTTTCACCCGCCCATCGTTTTTCACCCTGTGCCGACATCGTTCAGAGATCGTGTCTACGCTGAGTTTACACCCCAAGCCTGGAGGGAGGGAGCTACGCAGTTGAGAAATTTCCTGGCTGAAGCTCTAGAGCACGTTGCCGATTCTGAGAATGTGTATGCGGCCAGAACGGGCTCTCGCAAGCTCTTTCACTCATTGCTCTGCATATTCGATGACACTGCGCTGCAGCTTCTCGGGCTTTTGCACGAGCCAAGCACTTCGAGTTTCGGTCTGCCATGACACGCTGCTCGCTGGCAAGAAAAAAAAACTGTGTTCGAGAAGCCGCCTACCGCAGCTCCAAGCCCTGCCCTGAGTCCATTCTCCTCTCCCACCATGGGTAAACCCATAACCCCCGCTAAACCCTCAACCCCTAGACCCCGCTAAACCCTCAACCCCTACAACCCGCTAAACCCTGAACCCTAAACCCCCCTCAACCCCGAAACGCGGAAACCCTGGGATCCCATCAGGCTGAACCCTTCGGGTTAGCGGGCCCGCTTTAAGGGAATATACGGGCCATCCTGGGAAGTTAGGCTTTGGGTTTCGGGATTTTGCTTTCGGGCTTCGCGGGGAGGGTTTCGGGTGTTAGGGTTGACGGTTTCGGGTGCGAGTCTTCGTCCCTTTTCGAGAGTCCCTATTTCTCAGCAGGCAAACCTTCCCCTGAAACCCTTCCAAAGACACATGTGCCCGGCACCCTCAAGGACAAGCCCAAAGCCGTCGGATCCTGTATTTTGCGGGAAGCCCGAAAAACCTGAACCTCTCTAAGACAAACGTTCCCTCAAGGACAGCCCAAAGCAGTCGGACAGTGCACAGGTACCCTGAAGGACAAGCCCAAAGCCGTCGGACCCTGCACAGCTACCCTGAACCAACCCCACACCCTCAACCCCGGGTAAACCTACCCTCTGACTGGTCCACGCGCAAAAGCTCAAGCCGGCATCCCGCCTCTGCAAGCTGCGTCGACCTCCCTGAACTCATGCCGCGTCTGCGGTCCAAGCACTTTCAACGGCCGAGGACGTTCCTCACGCGCAAGAGACCTGCTGCCAGGAAGCGCCCAGCTGCACAGCCGCATACTCGTGAGGGAGCGCGCGAGGTCAACCGCAAGCATGTCAAGAAAGGACTCCACCTGAAGCAGCAGCCGAACCAGTCCGGCAACGTGCATGCTCCACGTTTAGATCGCTTCCAAGGTGGCAACGTTTCCTTTGCTGAGCTGTCTGGTTTTCCTGAAGAGAGCTTCCTTCTTTCCTGCCTCCACTGGTCGTGTCTGTTGGAAGTGTGGACATGCATACCGTACGCAGAAGGACCGTAAGTTCAACACCACTTTGCGCTGCGCCAACCGCAGCTGTGACAACAAGCTCTTCAAGCCCAACTTCACTGCTACGCCCTTCCTGAGGCCACTCCTAAGCTCAGCCCCCTTAAGCCCGGACACACTGCTAGTCTCAGCTCCCTTCTGAAGCCTCCTCGACTTCCTGAATCATACACAGCCATCACCCCGCCAGGCACAGTCGACGATGCTCGGAGGAACTCTCTCCACGCTTTGTCTTGCAGAGCCTTCACTGCTACAGCTCCAAGGTTGCGCTCGACTCTGCAGCTACAATGGTGGATGGTCGCGCTTCGACCCGAAACACGTATCAGCAGGCCAGGGCCAAAACCCCTAACCCCCTGACCCTAAGCCCTGAACCCAATAAATCTGTAACACCGGTGCCCTAAACCCCCTTCAGCCCGCTAAGCCCTGTCCGAGGTGCAGTTGGTCTACAGCTGTTGCGCAACTGCAGCAAGCTTCGCATTGATGCAAGACCAAGTCTTGCAGCCGAAGTTCGAGCATGACTTCGTGGACATTGACGGCACTGCGACATCCAAGCACAGGCTTGCGGGCAAACGCAAGCGGAAGCCCAGCTCCGGCTCCAAGGACCACCAGCATGGCCACCCAAGCTCGAGCTCCAAGGATGTCAAGCAGCCCAAGCCCCGCAGGAGCAAGAAGGTTGCCAGCACTTCTTCCTCCAAGCAAGGGCTCCAGGGCAAAGCTACCCGTACTCAGGCTGGCCGCATGTTCTTGATGAGATCTCGCTCCTCTGGCCGGCGTGTGTGGGTGCCCCTGCCCAACCAAACGGTTGCGCGCGGTGCTGCCAGTGCACCCGAGAAGACAGCTGAGGTGCTGCAGCCGATGTTGGACAACATCCACAGCAGCTGCTTTCTGGGAGCCGACTCCGGACCCGCGCTGCAGTCAGGGGCGGCAGCAGTTGGGGCCATGGCCAGCGCGGCGTGCCATAGCCGCGAGGAGTTCACGCCCTTGCTGAGCCTGCGCAAGAAGAACCTTTCACCCGAGCACCTCAAGACGTTTCGTAAGTTTGCCAAAGGCAAAGGTGGCCAGAAGACGGTCCACGAAACCAGCCACACGTTTCAGGTCCTCGGGGGGGATAACCCCGCCGAGGCTGTGTTCAGCCAGGCGAAGAATCAACTTCGGCGTGTCAATCGTCTTGGTCGAGACGCTGCTAAGACAGTCTCCAAATCGTTTTTGGCCGCGCAGTGGTCCCTGCACAGACCAGGCCTCCTGAATCTTCTCCAAGCCTTCAGGGCATACCAAGCGTGGAACGTTGATCGTTTGGGTGTGGACCCTTATGATCAACTCACGGAAGATCGGCCTTGGGAGTTGCTGGAACTTTAGATCCCTCGAACCCTCAAAGATGCGCTGAATTTATAGTGCCCAAAAACGCTGCTTCTAGCTCTTCCCCACTGCATGCATCCCAGACTGCCACTTATCATCCCGTACTACCCTGCGTGGGACGCTCAGCACTTCCTGCCGACAACTCCTGTCTTGTCTCTACCTTCCACCGCTTCCCGCAACTTAAAATTCCAAGATTTTTAAGTTGCGCAATGGTTGCCGCTCAGCCGCTTGCCAAGCTCCAAAAGCGTGGCAGGCGCGATAGAAACAGCGCTGGCACTCCGCAGAAAAGCTTCTGGGCGCGGCTTAACGCGCGGTCGGAGCGGGGTTTAGGGTTTAGGGTTTAGGGTTTAGGGTTTAGGGTTTAGGGTTTAGGGTTTAGGGTTTAGGGTTTAGGGTTTAGGGTTTAGGGTTTAGGGTTTAGGGTTTAGGGTTTAGGGTTTAGGGTTTAGGGTTTAGGGTTTAGGGTTTAGGGTTTAGGGTTTAGGGTTTAGGGTTTAGGGTTTAGGGTTTAGGGTTTAGGGTTTAGGGTTTAGGGTTTAGGGTTTAGGGTTTAGGGTTTAGGGTTTAGGGTTTAGGGTTTAGGGTTTAGGGTTTAGGGTTTAGGCTTCTTTCACAGCCACCACCCAAAACATTGCCTTTTAGGGTCTAGGGCTGCCACCCCGAATTCCCACCATAAAACGCTTCAAGCCTTCACTGAGGGTGGGAGGCTGGGGCCATCCCAGGAAGGTTGTAAAGGGTTTTTAGACAGGGTTCTGAGAGGGGTTCAAGAAGCGTTTTTAGGGGAGGTTTCAAGGAGGGTTTCGGGGTCCCAGAGTTTTCAAGGCTCCCCAAAAAACCTCAGGCAGGTTTCACAGGGGGCCAGAGGTTCCAGAGTGGTCTTAGAAAGGGAGGGGGCGGAGGTCTAGGGGATAGGATTAGGGGGACCCTTGGGGAAAAAGACCCTCTGAATAAGGTCCCTGTTTAAGAGGGTTCCCTTTTAAGGGTCCCCCTTATCCCACCTAGGAAGGTCATCAATGCGGAGTGCAGGAGGGTGGAAATTTAGGGTTTCGGGCTTCGGGTCCCTGAATTCGCCGCGGGCACATCAGTGAGATCCGGCACGAGGCCGAAGATCCTCTCAGTGATTCCTTGAATGACGAAGGCAGGGCTTCGATTCGTTCAGGTCCTTAAAAAAAAAAAAAGGTTCAAAGGTAGTCTAGGCAGTTGAGGGCTTCGGGGTTTGAAGTTTGGGGTTCCCTAAAACTCCTAAACATCAAACCTCAAACTAGAGAACGGCTGTCCCCAGAGCGTTTTTGAGCCACGATTAAGACCACGTGAAACCCTGAAGAAAAAGCAAGACGAAACGCCAGGCAACGACACGACGACACGGTTCATCACACGGTTCATCCCATCCAGCATCCCACACATCATCCCAGACATCATTTTCCACAGCATCCCAAAGCTAAACGCCTCCCACGCCAGCGCCGTGGCGTCCCAGCAGGCCGAGAGGCTTGTCGTTCGCGGACAGAGATGCGAACGCCTCCCATGCGTCAGCGCCGCGGCACCCCAAGCACCGAGAGGGTTGTCGTTCGTGGACGAACATGCGAATGCCTCGCATGCGCCAGCGTCACGGCGCCCAGCGAGCACAACCAGGGTTTTGAATTGTCCTTCGCGGACAAAAACGTGAACGCCTCCCACGCGCCAGCGCGATTTTTCAGCAGGTGCCGCGAGTCCCGCCAACCCTTCCCCGCACTTTAAAAACATATCAAGTTTTCCAAACAAATCTCGAAATCCATCACGCCATCCATCAATGCATCATTCAGCGCGACATCCCTTCG